GCCTCTTCGGGAGGAATCTGTGACACTGGCCCCCCCCAATCCAAGTCCACCTCCTTGAACTAAATTTGTGGAGGAGAGGGGACTCTGGGCTTGACCTGGGACCCTGGGCCTTACTGCTTTAGAAGATTCTCTGGAAAAGGACCCCAAACCCTCTATGCCAGCCAGGCATTAACACAACAAGCATTTATTGAGCACCAACTCAATACAGCTTGTGTGAAGCACCAAACTATTAAGATATATTCACCACCATGGTCAAGTGAGGGAGACAGATGGGTAAATGGATCCTCTTAAGAAGGTGGCAAGGGCTAAAGCTGTTCTGCCTGGGGAGGTCAGGGAAGGCTCCTAGGAGGAGGCGTCCATCCAGGAGCCATTTGACAAAAGGGAGACTCAGGGGACCAGTACCCATCAGGGAAGGAGCTTCTATCAGAAAAATAGGGCTCAGAAGCCAGAAGTCAAAGGTTATGGGGCAAAGGTCACTCTATTTTTGGAGGAAGGGAATAATCCAGAGGGGGCTGGCTCTGCTGAAGGAGTAGCAGGTCTCCTCCATTACCCTTTGTCTGAGGTTCAGGGGAGAAGGTCAAGGGTGGGGCAGGGTTCTGACTGAGGAATCTCGGGATCACACCTGGCCCCATGACAGGTGCCCGCCCATCTTTGAGTGGGGCCTAGACCCAGACTGAGAACCCGGGGCACAGGCCGAGGAAGTGAGAGCAGAATCCCGGTAGTGTGCTGGAGGTCAGGACAGGAGGTCGTCGGCAGGGAGGAGGGGGGCTACACCTCACTGTTCCTCCCCCGCCCCCTCCCTTGTGGCACCACAAGGCACGCAGCCGCATATCACCCGTGCCAGCCCTCACCTCCCGGCAACGTCGCCGCATTCTCAGCCACGCCATCTGGCATGCCCGCCGCTCCCCAGAACACTGCAGCGGGTGGGGGGAGGGGGCCGTGGGGCAGGTGCCCACCCAGAGCCAGGAAGAAGTGGCAGGTCCCCCTCCCCCAAGGTCCTTTAGGACTTGAGGTGGGGCAGGGGGCTGGGGAAGGGGGGTGGCAGGTGCTTTTATGCTTCAGGAGGAAGCTTCGAGCATCCCCAACTGACGGAACAGGCACCGTCTGGGCAGTGCCAGCCTGCCCCCCTCCCCTCCCCACCGCGCAGCTCCTGCCAGGAGCACAGGCCCTCAGAGGGTCTCCAGAGTCCTGCCCTTCCCCTCGAACCCGCAGTGGGGGCGAGCAGACAGGCCGCCCCCCCTCGTGGGCCCGCTCTCGCCCTCCGCCTGCCCGCCCGCCGCCGCCGGGGAGGCCGCCGGGCATGGCTCTGCGGGCCTGGCCAGGGACAGGACACCTGGCTTCTCATCCACCTGCTCCCCATGGCTGGGCACTTCGGTGGGAAATCAAGTCCCCGTCCCCCACACACTGGCCCCCGCCACTCTTATTTGGGGCATGGCGGTGGCGGCGGCGTCCGGCGAGGTGTCCTCCGGGCGTCAGAGCGGAGTGGAGCCTGCAGATTTGTGTGTGTGTGTGTGTGTGTTTATTTCGGTGGAGCAGGGGGTGCAACGAGAGCGGCTTTCCGGGAACATCCCTCCTGCCCTCCGAGCCAGATTCCCCGGGACTGCTCAGGAATGCCGGGTCCCGGGCCCGCGCCCCGCCGCCCGCTGCCCCCCGGGGCCGGGGCTGCACAAAATGGCCGCCGCCCTGCGAGCAGCCATCTTAGGCGCCCAGACTGGGGCCTCCCCCGGGACGGGGTGTGTCTCCATGGGAACTCGGCTTCCAGCTCCCTGGAGGGGGGCGGCGGCGGAGACGGGAGTCCCCCCCCCCGCCCCGCCCCAGCCCCGGCCTGGCCGGGGCGCCCACCACCCCCCTGCCCCGCGCGGAGACCCGGGGGGACTGGGCCCCTCACCAGCTCCCTTCCCCCCATGCCAGGGGGAGGAACAGATGGCATCTCTGGGTGTCCTTCTCCTTCTGTCTCCTTCCTTCCATTTCTGGCTCTTTCTGTCTCTCTGTCACCGCGTCTCTGCGTCTCTGGGTGCACCGAGAGGAGCACGTATGTCCCCGCGTGTTCGCGCCCGCTCCCGTGCAGGCGGACACGTGTGTGTTGTGCCTCTTTCGAGCCCATGTCTGAGGCGGGCCCACCCCACACCTCCCTCTGTTCCAATTTCCCCCTGTTTTTTTTTTTTTTTATTGTATCTTCTAAAAAAAGTTGAAATGTGTCGAGTGAGAAACACTTGTTCCATTTTTCTGAAGGGAGAAGAGACAGGGCCAGGAGACAGACCGCCCGGGATGGAGGTCCCCACGCCGCCAGGCGCGGCCCCCACCGTCTCCGAGGGGCCGAGGGGGCTTCTAGGCCCACAGCGCCCATGTCCTGGCCGCCGGCAGACGGGGGAGGACCAGGCGGGCCTCCCAGGGCTCCCCCATCCTGGGCGAGGGTCTGCCTCCCACCTGGAGCCGGGAGGGCCCGTGAGGCCGGACCAGAACCTCAGTGTCCAAAGGCCGCGGGGGTGGGGGGCGGGTGTCTCTCGACCCCAAGGAAGCATTCACTCACTTCCTCGCCCATTCTTTCACCCAGGAATTCCACAAGCATTCAGTTCCTGCACAGACAAAGCATTCGCCATGTGTGGGGGGCGGTAGGTGCAGGAAGTTAGCATTGTGAAGCATGTTACAATTTACAAGGTGCTTTCATACAAACGAGAGCTGGCGTTCACTGAAGGCTCACTACAGTGCGGCAGCTCTGCGAAATGTAGCACAATTACCCCCATTTTATAGGTGGAGAAATCAAGACTGCAGGACGTTATGCAACTTGCCCAAGGCATTCCGCATCCTTTAAAGCCGATGAGTAGGGCTGGCCAGGACTCAGAGCCCAGGGCCTGCACAGGTCACCAAAACGCCACGTGACCCGGAGGCTGCAGAAGGGCCGGGTGTCAGGAAGGAAGACTCCGCCCTCAGTAAAGGGACAGGGGAGCTCTTGAGGCTGTTCCCAAACTTGCACGCGGTCCTGGCCAGCCTATCTGGTCTCTGCCTCACCTGAGGCCTACCCTTTGGCGTCCCTCTCTGCCGTGGCCAGAGTGCCCCAGACCATCTGCCAGAGGCGGGATTCTGCCTTCTCAGACCAGATCCATGAATGGAGGAAAACGCACCATCAGCTTCTCCTGCTGGGAGAGCACCGAGGCAGATTGCCGGGCTGTGCAAGGAGCACCGGGCCGGGCATCCAGTCCCTGGCTCCTGCTCCTCACTCAGGTGCTCCTGGGCGAGCTGGTGCCCTTCTGTGGGCCTCTGTGGCAGGAGGAGTGGGGGCTGTTCTTTCTGAGGCTCTTCTTGGTGTCAATCACGCGCCTCAGAGAGCCGGGGACAGCACCAGGCCCCCTTCTCCAGGGTCTTCTCGGCCATTCATTGGGTGTGACTCTATTTAGAACCGAGCTCATTCTACCAAGCACCAGATCCGTGTCCTCCCGGCCCCAGAACCCCTTCGGAGGCTCCCAGTGGGAGAAAGCTAGATCTGTCCAGATCAAGGGCGAAGTGCCCCCACCCCCTGGCTCTGCGCCACCACAGTGCCTGGCACATGGGTGGCACCAGCGTGTTTGTGCTTCAGGTACGACTGAGGCCGTCTGTGTGTACGTGGTCTGGAGGGTGGGGCCGGGGGCCGGAAACGTGGTTCTGAAACACACAGATGCCTGAATCAGGGCTTGAGCAACGGTCTTTTTACACCTGGCTGTGATTACCTGCTCACACACACGTGTCTATGTGGGCAGGGGTGTGGATCCATTTTCTGCACTACAGAGTGAGGAACAGGTGTGTGTGTGTGTGTCTAAAGTTACATGCCTCAGCCCGTGCCTTTACATCTGTGTCTGGCCCAGAGAGAGGGCTGAAAGGTGAGCAGCAAGATAAACAGCAATTTCTTACCTTCCTGTCAAGACACTTGTCTGACCCACCTACCCTTGGTCACTCTCAGGGCTGCTGGACTTGACTTCAGTATTTTAAGTTTTGGGTTTGTTTGTTTGTTTTTTTCCCCCAGGGGGAGGAGAATGCTTTAGGCAATTCCCTTCCCCCTCAAATAAGTGAGTCCCAAGGCCAGGAGAGGAAGATGCGGGTGGGAGGGCCACTCGTCTAGCAGGGGGAGGGGATGTTGGCAGGTGAGGAGCGAGAGTTTCTGGGCTGGGAACCCAGACTGAGGCCCTGTCCCCCACCCCCAGATGGTGGGCGCAGAGGCTCATCCTGGGGATTCCCCTCCACTCCACCCCGACATAATACACCCCTAAACGCGCAAGGGAGCCTCTCCGGCGGCTGACTCCGCAGATAGACGCACATGTCCCCGCAGACACACACACACGCCCATGCAGAGGCACAGACATCCAGGCAAGTCTTTCCTTCTCTCCTTCCCTCGGTTTGAATTCCGTTCAGCCACATATGTTGTGTGTGCGCGCGCGGGTGGGTGGGGGAGGGGCAGACGAGGATGAGGGATGGCGTGGTGCCAACATCTACCTATGGGGCTTGGGCCAGGGACGCCCCCACACCCACCCGGGGAGGGGGCCTCAGCTGTCCCTTTGTGGTCAAGGGGATTCTGGGCCGGTGGGGGGGGTGGGTAGACAAGCAGAGAGGTCCCTTATCCAGACCTGAGGTCTGATCCCTGACCCACCTTTGGGGGCCTGCAAGGGAAAAAAAAATGGACAGAGCGAGACCCTGGAGGGCGCATAGAATTCGGGACCACCACAACCCGGGCAGTTCCAGCCTTGCCACCCCATTGTCCTCATGTGGGGGCTCTAGATCCAAGGGGGGGCCACTCCTCCCACCTCCCTCTCCATCCTGGCTTTCCCTGCGTTGGGCAGGAGGGGAGGGCGACAGAGATATTTATTTATTTCCTTTATTTATTTAATTTTTTTTTTTTTTTGGAGTAGAGAGTGACAGATGGCGGCGGGTCCCGGGGGAGCCGGCTCTCCCCCAATGCAGACGCATGCCAATCACCGTCTCTCATGTGATAGCTGCTGCCCGTGACGTGCCAAGCCCATATGGCCTGGCATAGAGGCTGGTACCCCGCCTGGTAGAGATGCCACACTCGCTCCGCGGCTCGCATGGCGCTCTGAAGACGCCGGCGCCCGCCGCCTTGAGGAGCCGCTGCCCCCGCTCCCTGAAGATGGGGGAACAATGAAATAAGCGAGAAGATTCCTCTTCTCCCCCCTCTCTCTCTTGCCCCCTCCCCCTCCCCTCCCCTCTCCCCTCGACTCCTCTCCGAGGTAAGTTGTCCGAAATGGAGCTAGGTCTGACCCGCCGGCTGGAAGGGGGGGGGGCGGGGGCCGGCTGCTCCGGCCGACAGGAGGGTCCCCAAGTCCCCCCTTCCTGGGAGATGCCCCCTTATGGGGTGAGCCTCGGGGGCGCCCCGGGTTCCTCTCCCCCAGGGGCTGCAGCTCAGGGGGCCGGGGGAGGCGTCTCTGCCTGCGCCCGGCTGGGGGGACGCAGGATCAAGGAGGGGCCGCGGAGAGGCTGAGATGGGACCCTCCCCGGTGGTTGTCCCGGAGGAACCTGCGACCTTTCCCCATTACCAAAGGAAAAAAAAAAGGAAATAAGAAACAGAGGGAGAGAGAGAAGCAAACAAATTTGGATTTGTTCCCATCAATCCCGAAATACAACGAGATCTGAAGAGCTTTGTGGGAAGGAGGCGATCTGAGCAGGGGAAGGGGGTCCCCGGCCGCAGGGGAGACGGACGGGGCTCGCTCCTCTCGGTCTCCTCCCCGCGCCCGGTTCCTCCGCGCTCGCCGCCCGCGCCCGCGCCGGGAGCTGGGGACGCACGGTTAGAGGAGACGGTCCACCCGCCTCTGGAACTGAGGCTGCGGGGATGGGGGCCGAGCTGCGGGCGGCGCGCGGCCAAGTTGCAAATTGGATTAGGGAGCGTGGGGGTGAGAGCCACGGGAGGGGTGGGGAGCCGGGCGGAGGGGCCGGGGGCCGCGGGAGCCGCGGAGCCGGGCAGCTGTCCCCACCCGCAGCCGCCCAGCCTTCCTCGCCGCCGGGAGAGAACAGGCTTCCAGGGAGAAGGCGCCGCCTCCCCCGGCGACGATGTCCGCTCCCCAACGCCCCTGCCCGGCCCCCGCTGCGACCCCGAGAAGACCCCAGCGTGGGGAACGGCCCCGGGTTCGGGCGCGGGGCGGAGCCGGAGCCCGGGGCTGTGCGCAGGGCCTGAGCCGAGGTCTCCGGCTGGCGCGCGGCCCGGCCGGGGCTGGGTCGGCTCTGGGCGGGGCAGGCGGGGGAGGTGGGTGTCCGGTGCCCCCTGGGCGAGAACCCCCACCGGACTTGGGGTGGAGGTGGGTTGAGGGAAGGCGTCGTTGGCCCCAGCAAGCCCCTCACTCTGTGCTATGTCTCCCCTTCCCGCCCGTGGGGCGCCCTCAGGCACCATGCTGACCCGCCTGTTCAGCGAGCCCGGTCTCCTCTCGGACGTGCCCAAGTTCGCCAGCTGGGGCGACGGCGACGACGACGAGCCGAGGAGTGACAAGGGCGAAGCGCCGCCTCCGCCCCCGCCGCCGCCGGGGCCCGGGGCTCCGGGGCCGGCCCGGGCCTCCAAGCCAGTCCCTCTCCGTGCGGAAGAGGTGCCAGAGGCCGCGCTGGCCGAGGTCAAGGAGGAAGGCGAGCTGGGGGTCGAGGAGGAGGAGGAAGAGGAAGAGGAGGAAGGGTTGGACGAGGCAGAGGGCGAGAGGCCCAAGAAGCGCGGACCCAAGAAACGCAAAATGACCAAGGCGCGCCTGGAGCGCTCCAAGCTGCGGCGGCAGAAGGCGAACGCCCGGGAGCGTAACCGGATGCACGACCTGAACGCGGCGCTGGACAACCTGCGGAAGGTGGTGCCCTGCTACTCCAAGACGCAGAAGCTGTCCAAGATCGAGACGCTGCGCCTGGCCAAGAACTACATCTGGGCGCTCTCGGAGATCCTGCGCTCGGGCAAGCGGCCGGATCTGGTGTCCTACGTGCAGACGCTGTGCAAGGGCCTGTCGCAGCCCACCACTAACCTGGTGGCCGGCTGCCTGCAGCTCAACTCGCGCAACTTCCTCACGGAGCAGGGCGCCGATGGCACGGGCCGCTTCCACGGCTCCGGAGGCCCGTTCGCCATGCACCCCTACCCCTACCCGTGCTCGCGCTTGGCGGGCGCGCAGTGCCAGGCGGCGGGCGGCCTGGGCGGCGGCGCGGCGCACGCCCTGCGGACCCACGGCTACTGTGCCGCCTACGAGACGCTGTACGCGGCGGCGGGCGGCGGCGGCGCGAGCCCGGACTACAACAGCTCCGAGTACGAGGGCCCGCTCAGCCCCCCGCTCTGTCTCAACGGCAACTTCTCGCTCAAGCAGGACTCGTCGCCCGACCACGAGAAGAGCTACCATTACTCTATGCACTACTCAGCGCTGCCGGGTTCGCGGCCCACGGGCCACGGGCTGGTCTTCGGCTCGTCCGCGGTGCGCGGGGGCGTCCACTCCGAGAATCTGTTGTCTTACGATATGCACCTTCACCACGACCGGGGCCCCATGTACGAAGAGCTCAACGCGTTTTTTCATAACTGAGACCTCGAGCCCGCCCTTCTTTTTTCTTTGGCCTTTACCCGCACCCCTGTCCCCAGCGCCCCGAGCGCAGGGGCACCCTCACCTACTCTGGCGCCGGGTGCGGGGTGCGGGACGCCGGTCCCGCCGCTCTCCTGGGCAGCGTGGTCCTCTTAACAGTGGGGGGGGGGGCCCTCCCAGGGGCCTCGCTTCCCCCAGGGGACTCGCCTTCTCTCTCCCCAGGGGGTTTCCTCCACCTCTTTCCCAGGGAGATCTTCTCCAGGGAGCCCTCTCGGGGCACTCCCTGGAGACCCCCCCCTCCCCAACCCCTACACTTAGGTCCCCTTCTCCCCTTTCCCCTGCAGGCCCGAGACGTTGGTAAGGAGGCAGCGGAGCCGTGGGATGGCGTCCCTCCCCTTATTGTTATTACTTGTAAAACAGACACCGAGCTGCCGAGGCGGAAAGGAGCCGGCGTCCCCTCCCTCCCGCAGGGGGCAGAAGTCAGGGTGCCCCAGCCTGGACCTGCAATGCCCTCAACCCCAACCCCTAGTCTCAGCGTTTTGTGATTTTAATTTTGGCGGGAGGGAATGTGAATTGAGAGAAAAGCCAAGACCATTTGTCACTAGAATCTGTTTTTCCCTTTCCCTTTTTTAAAAACAAACCAACATACAAAAAAAAAAAAAGTTAAGAGGCAACGGAGGCTGAACGCAGAGTCCGGATCGGAGAAAAAAGCAGTAAGAACTTTTAGAAGCAATAAAAGGCAAAAAAATTACTACTACCAATAATAAAAAGACACAAATATCTATGCAAGGAGGTTCTGCCTGAGCCTGGCGGCCCGGCCCGGCCCCGGGACGCCCCTCCCGGCCCGCGGGCCGCGCCGCCGCAGCGCGGATCTGTGCACTTTGGTGAAGTGGCGGCCGGCGCCGCCCCCTCCTCCTCCCCAGGTTCTTACAATCAGTGACTCGGAGATTTGGGGCCCCAGTGCCACTGCCCTCCCCCGCCCCGTCCCCGTTGTGCGTCATGCTGTTTTTTAAAAACCTGTTTCCAAATTTGTATGGAATGGCAAACTAAACTGTTGGGGGGGTCGGTTTGGGGAGGGAGGGTCTGCATGAGAGACACACACGCACACCACACCGCAAGCATCCACAGGCCGGGCGCGGGCGTCCGGGGGCAGGGGGTGGGGGCAGTCGCGCGGCTCTCCTCCCCGCAGGCACCTCTACTCCTTCCCGCGGTGAGGGTGGAGGCCTCAATCTGGGGGCAGCCCCGCCCCCGCCCGACTGCGCCCCGGTGGGCGTCAGAGGCCCAGCGATTTCCGGTGGCTGCAGAAGGCATTTCTGTCGGAGTTGTCCTCTTGGCTCAGGCTGGCAGGTGGGCAGGGAGAGGGCTGAGGGCTCCTTCTGGAGGCTGCCCCCCCAGAAAGGGGCACAAGACGAACCTCTCCCCACCGGAGGCAGGAAATCAGGCATCCAAACACTCGGTGCAAAATGCAAACCCACAGGCGACTCACCCACACACGCACCCACACACTCACACCAACTTTACCTTCCTCTTGTAGCGAAGATTAAACTCCCGTCGGACACCCGAAGTGCATTGCGTGTTTCTGTTCAGTTTAATGACGATTAATAAATATTTATGTAAATGAGATGCAAAGCCGGACCCGGTTTCTCACGGTGGCCTCATTTCCTTCCAGGGATTGAGCTGGGGCTCTGGGTGATGGAGACAGAGTCCAGCGACTGTGCAGAGGCCAGGTGGAGGGACCCTGGACATTCCTGGGTAGGATTCCCACCCTCCAAACCCCCTCACACCCACCCACTGGGCACCCAAACAGTCCCCCTATGCCCCTCCCGGAACTTACACGGACACACATGCCCCCCCGGCACAAAGCACTGCACTCACGTCCTTACACTCCTCATTTCCCAAACACGCACAAGCACCTCCAGTGAAGACAAAATCTTCCTCGTTGAAAAATGACCGAGCTGGGAGCAGCCAGTCATCGCACAGCCCTCTGCCCACTGGTGCACGAAACAAGTGTGCGGGAACAGGCAGCCACTCCAGCCAGACAGGGATATTTTTAAATTAAAAATAAAAACGATAAGGTCATGAGGGTGAAATATTAATGGAGACGTTGTTGTTTTCAGTCTTAGATTTGTATTTCAGTGGCCTCGGGGGAATGGGCCACGTTTAGCCTCAGGCATGCTGAAGCATGTAGGGATGTTGATGAGGCTGGCGGAGCACCCCAGAACGCTGTGAGGGTGCCTGAGCCTCGGCACCCAGCAGGCAGAGCGGAGCGTGACCTGGCCGTGAGCTTCCCCCTGACGGGGCGGTGGGCGGCCCCCAGGTCCACAGCCCCCTCCCTGCCAGCTGAAGCTCCTCACAGAGGGAAGTCCTCGACCTAGGGGAGAGCCAGAGGAAGGGCACCATGGGGCAGCCTGTCTTGCCCCAGCCGCTTCCGCTTGTGTATCTCAGACAAGGTGGCCTCGTCGGTCTCCTTCCCCGAGCCTTCAGGGGCAGAGGCGTCTCCGAATTGACTCCCCTAAAAGGACGTCCCCGCCTCAGACGCCGGTGCCCAGTGGACCACTGGAGTATTTGGGAAGGGAGCCAAGTCCTACAGACCCCCATCCCAAAGCCTGGATACACTTAGGACAACAGGAACCCCGCTTTTTCTAATGCTGCTTACTTAAGTTGCTGTTTAAAGAGACACTGTTGCTTGTTTTAGGGCTGCGATGGAGGGGGGAGGGTGCTGGAGTGTTGGGTTTGAGGCTTGGGTTCAGGCGCACCACCTTTTCAAGGGTTGGCTCCAAGATCCCAAAAGGACTACGCCCTGAGAAAAGTGGAGACAGGAAAGGTGGTTAAAGGATGAAACCCTAAATACGAAAGGTGAATTGGGTTCCACTGACCTTCAGCTCCGTGGCTCCCCTAAATGACCTCTCAGTCTCCTGAGAGAGTCGTGTCCTCCCTCCCCCTCTCCCGGAGCGCGGGCGGAGCAGGGCCCCAGCCGGGAGCTGTCCGACCCCGGGGTGCTGACTCTCCTGCAACCTCTCACTTTCCCTCCACAAAGGGAGGGAGCGTGAACCTGGCCCCCCGACTCCCCCGACCCCTCGCACTGGGGTGGGGTGGGGCAACCAACAGCTGGAGGCCCTTCCCAACGCACTGCCAGGATTCTGGGTAAAATTTGCCCCATTTCCCCCCCGGGAACTTCATTGTGATTACTTTAAAAATTCACCGCCTTCCCTGGAATTCTCCTAAAATCGCCTCTCTAGAGCGGGATTAAGAAGCGGGCCTTCATCTCCAGAATTTGCTCCTGTTGGTAGTCTAAGAGGATCTTATAGACTTCTGAATCGCCACTATTCTTGGGAGAAAGCTGTTGACCCATCTTCCTTCTCCCCCGTGTCTTGTGTGGAACATGGAGCAGGGTGCGCACGCCAGACCCAGATCCAAGGGAGTCTGGTCTGCTGGTGGCCTGGGGCATGGGGCAAGGCCAGGCAGGGGCAACTGGGGGAAAAGCCACTCAGCACCCATCCTGAGGCCCGAGGCTTAACCTGCTCTGGAAGCAAGGTGGATTGAGCTTCTGTCTTGCTCAGCTGGCTCCCCATAATCCCCTCTGGAGTCTGGGGCTGGGTGGCAGCAGCATTCAGGTGGCTTGGGGCTGGGGGGAGAGGACCCCTCCGTGGGGCTCCCCTGGTCAGAGTACAGACCTCTAAGCGTCGTGCTTCAGGCTGCCCCACGCGGCCGCCTTCTGTTTGCAAAGCCTGGTTCCAGCCCTTTTTGACAACTCTTGGGCTCTGTGTCTGTGGTCCCCTCAGGTGAATGGGGGTGCCTGGGCCCCTCTTTGGTGGGGATCCCGAGTGCCTTGGCTTTCTGTGGCTCCCCGCCCACAGCAGACACCTTCCTCCCAACTCCTGACCCTCCCCCGCCCTCCCTGCACTCTGGCTGCACTCTCTCCTCGCCTTGCCCTCCTCCCCGGCACTCAGCGTCCCCGGCAAGGCGGCGAGATGAGCACGAGAAGAAGATGTGCGCGGACACGAGGCCCCAGACTGCCCCTCGCAGGCCCTTCCCTCCTGCTGGCTCTCCCGCTTGCCCTCTCGCACACAGACAGAAGCTCCAGGAACAGAAGGGGGTGGGGGGGGGAGATGGCAGGAGGGGGCCAGAGCGGAGGGGAGGAGGGGGCGCGAGGGGAGAAGTCACAGAGAGGACGCCCTCCTTGCCCCAGCCTGGGCGGCGGGGGTCTCCGAGCACACAGCACCTGGCTTGGCTCCAACCCCAGGGCTGTGGACGTGATGGCTGGAGCCATTGTTGGGGGGGGGCGTGTTTTTCCCCCTGATTTCCCCACTCCCACCCAAAGTCCAGTGTTTGGGAATGACAGCAAACCGGAGATGTCTCTGAGTCCAAGGCATTTGTCTACCACGGAGAAAGGGAGGAAAAACCATTGCTGCTTCTCCCTCTCCGCTTAACACCGCCCCAGCCGTGACTGCCACAGTCAGCCCCGAGGACTCCCAACGGGCCCCCAGCTCTGACTTCAGCACCCAGAGGGGCAACCGGTAAATAAGCCGCTACGTGGGGTCCAGGTAGACGGAGCCCCGCTGGAGTCGGCAGCATAGAGACCCGGACACTCCCCGGGCTCTGAGGGGCCGAGTCTGCTTCTCTCTCTTCCTTCAGGGGGGAGTCCGCCCAGATGTGAGCACAAGGCTCTCCCCCGGAGGTCAGAGATGTCACTCCCTCCTGGGCGACCTGTGTTTTCCCCTCGTCCCCAGAATCTCTAGCATGAAAGTACCTGCTCCTCAGAGGAATCTGTCGATTTGAGGGGACAGTGAAGCTGGAGGGTAGTTCCAGATCCCACAGTCCAGCTCGGAAAGGAAATGAGAAGGAGGGACAGTGCAGGCCAAGCCTGACCAGCCTTGGCCTCGACCTGCACCCTCAGGCTCCCGGTGTGGCAACAGGGGCCGGCCGGCCCCCAGCGGCCCTCCCCGACCAGCTCCCGCATGCTCTGAAGAGGACCCATCTTTGTTACAGGTGCCTCGGCCGCCAGGACAGCCTTCCCGTCTCACCGTCCCTTTTTCCCCTTTAGGACTGGGGTGCCCAGGCTCTGGTCACAGGACCAGGGGAGAGGGGATCCCCTGCGAGCTGTGAGAAACCTCAGAACCCTGCTCCTCTTCCAAATCCGAAGGCGGCTTCTGTCCCTCATCTTTATAAAAATTCTTGACAGTTTTCCTGGGTGAGAAGTGGTAAGGAAGGACACAGACACCTGGTGGGTCTGTCTGGCTCTCCTAAACTTTCTCCTCTCTAAAGCACCAGGACGGAGAGAAGCGCCCTCCCACCGGGAGTGCCCGCAGGGGAAGACCGAGAGGAGAAGGAGAGCGAGCGGTTTCTGGGGTGGGGGGTGGGGGTGGGGATGCCAAGGGCTGGGGGCCTCAGTCCCCCAGTGTCGGGTGGGAACCCGGGGCGCTGGTGAGAGAGGATGAGGAACCCCCTGGACGCGGGCTCTGCCCAGGGAGCTGGGGCGTCGCCCTTGGGTGGAGAAGCTGCCCAGATGCGCGCCCGGGTGTGGCTCTGGTGTTGCCAACTCGCCCGCCGGCTCCGGGGCAGAAGCGAGGCTCGGTCCCCGCCCC